CCATTCAAAGTTACAATGGCACTGAAAAAGTGACTTATGACTGTTTTCACATTTACGACCATTGAAGCATCCCCATTGTCACCTGATCAAAATTGAGATGTTTGGCAGCTAGTTCATATTTATGATAGTTACCATGTCCTGGGGTCATATGATCACTTTTGTCTGCTATGCAGACTTATTTTTATTTTCATTCAAAGATACAGCTGAGACAGATTTTTCTCACTGTTAGCTGTATACAAGCCCCGTTCCCAGCAGTCCTCCTAAAATTGGCACGTAACAACTGTTAAGTAACAAGTTGTTCCAGTTTTATGTTTTCCTTACCCACTAAATCACTTCCAGATGTTTTTTCTTCCCATTGTTAAGAGAGGGGGAAAAAAAGTTAAATTAACACGTTTTCTTTAACTTGAACTCTGTCAGCTGCAGGGCAGGCTAGCTTACTACCTAATTTATTTTATACAGAGTTAAAATCCCAACACATCAAGGAAGATTAAAGAAAGAAAGAAGGAAATCAGCCTTCTTTAGAACCAGCTTTCCCTTTTGATGGTTTCGCCTTTCCAAAAGAGGCCCAATTGCAAAACATTTTGGCAGTTCAGGATTTTTCTGGAACTTGTTTTCTTCCTTCTCCTTGCCTCCACCCAGCTCTACAAAGGAGAAAACGCAGCTCCCAGAGAAAGCCGTGTCTGCTTTTATTCCTGCGAAGCAACTGAGAAAAATCAAAAGGAGTAGTGATCCAGCCTCAGAGTTTCGGGTGAGTTTCTAAAATGTCTAAATATTTTCTCTGAGGCACGGTGGGTAAAAGGGGGAAGATAAATCAAGACTCAGAAGGCACAGAAAATGTTTTTGAAGGCATCTAGAGCAGTTCTCAACCTTTTTAATGCCGCGACCCCAACTGGTCGTAAGTCGAGGACTAAACCGGTCGTAAGTCGAGGACTAAACCGGTCATAAGTCGAGGACTAAACCGGTCGTAAGTCAAGGACTACCCAACCGGTCGTAAGTCAAGGACTTTCCCTGCCCGGGAGTGCCGCGCATGCGTGGTTCCACCCCCTGCGCCAGCCAAGGCGTAGCTGGCAAGCGGCAGAGACGGAGCAGGCCGACCACCAGCTGGCCCAGCCCAAGGGAGGTAAGGCACCCACCGGAAAAGGGGGGGAAAATGGCAGACAAAAAAAAATGGCGGACAAAAAAAATGGCGGACAGCCTTGCTTGGCGACCCCCATGAAATGGTCGATCGACCCCAAATGGGGTCCCGACCCACAGGTTGAGAACCACTGATCTAGAGTGACCTCCTGGTTAATGATCAGAAAATCAAAGTTGGAAGGGGCATTTGCATTATTGCATCCAATCCATTCCACCGGATCTCCAACAGCATCTTTCTAGTGTTGGAAGTCAGCACCCACCCACCCTCCTAGAGAAGGAAATATTTTGGAGAGATATTAAAAAAAGGCAGAATATTATATTTCCCCAAAGTAATAATAGAAAAATCCTAGAAACCAGGCCCTAGAAACCTGTCCCAAGTAGAAACTCAGGAAACCACCTTTTAGAAATGCAGATTCAGTAATCTATTCAGAAAGACTGGGCCACCTATTCATAAGCAAAATGCCTTCAGCCATAGCCCCAGAGAAGGTTTGAGCTGATGGGATTAGAAAAATAAAGACTCCAAGGAACATGACCTTTAGGAGGGTTAACCCACCACCATTAGAATACCAAAAGGGCACACAGAACCCCAGGCAGTGGTGGGATTTAGCCAGTTCGCACCAGTTTGCCAGAACTGGTAGCTAATTTTTTGTTGCCCAGGCCCAGAATGGTCTTCCAGAAGCGGCATCCACACAGAGAACCAGTTGTTCACATATTTGAATCCCACCACTGACCCCAGGTCAAAGTTCATTGCACAGGAACAGGAAGAGCCTCAAATACAATGTCACAGGAACAGGAACAATTCCAGACACAAAAGCCCAAGAAGGTATAAAAATTCACCACTCCCAGCTCCATTTTGTCAGCCACCCCAGAAGCACATGCTGTGTCACTGAAGTTTCTGGCAACTCAATAAAGTCTCCATTTTCTTGTTCCCAGCTTGGATTGGACCTGAAGATTTTTCTTTCAATACTAGCTTCCACTTCAGTTTCTCTAGAGCAGAAGTTTTTCTGTTCCCTATTTTGAAATCTAAATGCATTTCCCAGATTTGGTTCAAATCTACTGTAATTTCTGCATGGAATCTAGAATAATTGGGCTAGGAGATCTGAGAATTTCTTTCTACACTTTGTTTGCTCTGTAACCAGGAGGATGCATTCAAACTCAGTCGTCACATTCTGTTTCTTCCTCCTGTTCACTTGATTCTTCTTCAAATATCCTCCTGAAAGCTTGCAGTTTTTAAGTTGAGCAAACAATGCCTAAGCTGAACTACTTTTGTTGTTGTTAGTTGCGAAGTCGTGTCCGACCCATCGCAACCCCATGGACAATGTTCCTCCAGGTCTTCCTGTCCTTTACCATCTTCTGGAATCCATTTAAGCTCACACCTACTGCTTTAGTGACTCCATCCAGCCACCTCATTCTCTATCGTCCCCTTCTTCTATTGCCCTCGATCTTTCCCAGCATTAGGCCCTTCTCCAGTGAGTCCTTCCTTCTCATTAGGTGGCCAAAGTATTTGAGTTTCAACTTCAGGATCTGTCCTTCTAAAGAGCAGTCGGGGTTGATCTCTTCTAGGACTGACTGGTTTGAACGCCTTGCAGTCCAAAGGACTCGCAGGAGTCTTCTCCAGCACCAGAGTTCAAAGGCCTCAATTCTTTGTCGCTCAGCCTTTCTTATCGTCCAACTTTCACAGCCATACATTGCAACTGGGAAAACCATGGCCTTGACTATACGCACTTTTGTTGGCAGGGTGATGTCTCTGCTTTTTAGTATGCTGTCTAGATTTGCCATAGCTTCCGTCCCCAGGAGCAAGCGTCTTTTAATTTCTTGGCTGCAGTCCCCATCTGAGGTGAACTACTTTATAGGTCAATAAATAAAATTTTATTTCTTCTTTTCCAAAGGGTGCTTAATATCTACTTTTTTTTCATTTAAACTTTTTTATTTTTCCCAATTCTCCCCCATACATATACCGCAATATTTATCATGTGTTAACATACATTCTTTTTACATTCTTATCTATCAGATACTTTTAATAAAATAAAATAAATACATACACATAGATTTTGGTGTTGCTCGCCCATTTCCCCTTTCACTGTATCCACACTCCTTCTTCTCTACCTTTTCTCCCTTTCTTCTCTTTCTTCCCTACTTCCCTCTTCTTCCTCTCCTCTCCTCTTTCCTTCACCACTCCCCTTCCCTTTCTCCCTTACTCCCCACTTCTCCTCCAACCTTCCTACTTCCTTCCCCCCTCCTTCACTCTCTTCTCTCTCTCCTCTCCTTTCCCTCTCATCCCTCTTCAGATACAATTCAGGGCTTTTATTGACTTTTTTTCCTTTGCAGCTTCGATTAATGTTTTTAATTGCTCCTGCTGTTAGATATATCCTTGAAGATTGATGAATAATATGTTATAAAGAAATCTTGTAAGACAAGTGATTTTGTGCGGCTTAATCTTAAAGGTTACAGAAAATGGGATGAATATTTAATAGATTATCCTTACTCATATTTTTTTTTTAAAAAAAAATCTTTAGCCTACTTTCTCTTCCCTCCCTTCCAACTCAGAGTTACTTGGATACAAAATTGTCAGCAGTGCACGAGTGAATACTCCATTTATCTTAACAACAAGATCAAAGCCAATAAAAATAAAAATGTTGTTAAAGTGGTACTGCAGTGATAGAGTAGTAAGGAAAATATTACCTCTGTTCTTTTTAATACAGGTAGTCCTTGACATACGATCACAATTGAGCCCAAATTTTCCGCTGCTAAATGAGGCAGTTGTCAAGTGATTTTTGCCCTATTTTACAACCTTTCTTGCCACAGTTGTTAAATGAATCACTGCAGTTGTTAAGTTAGTAACACAGTTGTTAAATGAATCACTGCAGTTGTTAAGTTAGTAACACAGTTGTTGAATGAATCTGGCTTCCCCATTGACTTTGCTTGTTAGAAGATTACAAAAGGTGATCACATGACCCTGGGACACTGTAACCATCATAAATATGAGTCAGTTGTTAAGCGTCTGAATTTTAATCACGTGACTGACGTGGTGCTGCAATGATCATAAGTGTGAAAACATGACTTTTTTCAGTGCTGTTGTAACTTTGAACGGTCATTAAATAAACTGTTGTAAGTCAAGGACTACCTAAATCAGTTGAATTTTTTGGCAATAGCTTTGTTTTTGCCACTGTGCATTCTAGGAAAAAAATATATACTCCACACTTTTCATTTCCTTCACAAAAGCTATTCTCTTGTAACAATCTTTTTCTGAATGTCCATTTAAGATGAAGGATATCAGAGCAGCTCAGCCAATGCCTGGAGAACATGGCAATGATTTGCATCCAGCCACTTAGAAATAGCCAACCTTCAATCAATCAACCAGAATAGAGCTGGAAGGTACCTTAGAGGTCTTCTAGTCTAACCCCCTACACAAGCAGGAGATCCTATACCATTTCAGACAAATGGTTGTCCAATCTCTTCTTAAAGTTCTTCAATGACGGAGCACCCACAACTTCTGGAGACAAGCCATTCCATTGATTAATTGTTCCCACTGTTAGGAAGTTTCTCCTTAATTCCAGGTTGCTTGTCTCCTTGATTAGTTTCTATCCGTTGTTTCTTGTCCTGCCCTTTGGTGCTTTGGAAAATAAATTGACCCCGCCCCCTCTTCTTTGTGGCTGCCCCTCAAATACTGGAATATTGCTATCATGTCATGCCTAGTTTTTCTTTACTCTAGACTGGCCACACCCAACACCTTTTGTCAATCTAGATCTCTTCAGAAGTTCTGAAAATCCAAAAAACATCTTGGTTTCTGCCAATGGATAGTTGGGGGTGCAATTCTCACCCCGATATCAATTCGATGGTCTGTATTCTTTTCTCTTGTAGGTGGAGTTGACACCATGCCTCAGATGTTGACCTATTCAGTCCTGGTACTCTTTGTGACATTGCTGCTGGGATCCTTGCCAACTCTTGCCCAGAGAGAAACCCGTCATGAGAAATTCCACCGGCAGCACGTTGCTGCAAAGTCCAACACGCTGGATCCCAGGCTCTATTGCAACCGGATGATGCAACGAAGATGTATGACGACTGTCAAGTGTAAACCTGTCAACACCTTCATCCATGGGGAAGATACAGCAGTGGATGCCATCTGCAACACTGGGGGGACTCACTCAAGTGAAAATTACTACGACAGCAATAGCTTGTTTGAGCTCACCCGTTGCCAGTCGACAGGCAGAGGGACTGAGCCTCCCTGTTCCTACCAAGGCTCGCTTACCACCCAGCGGGTCAGAGTTGCCTGCGTAAATGGCCTGCCAGTGCATTTCCAACAAGCTCTTTAGAAATAGCGATGGCCACCATTAGAAATATCATTGACCATGGTGGCTAGTTAGAGATTATATATCTTCAGCTATTTTAGAAGCCAAGAGGATTCCAAGTCCTAATTTTAGTGCAATGCTGTATTTCAGTTACAATTTGCTGTTGACCATTTTTTTCATTTCTTTTTATCTGCCTTCCTCTCTTTAGAATAGAATAGAGCTGGAAGGGACCTTGGAGGTCTTCTAGTCCAGCCCCCTGCTCAAGCAGGATAACCTATACCAGTGGTGGTGAATCTATGGCACACGTGCCAGAGGCAGCACTCATAGCCCTCTCTGTGGGCATGTGCGCCGTCGCCCCAGCCCTGCCTTCCCCCATGGCCCCCTCCTCACCAGCAGCCCCCCCAGAGGAGAGTCACCCCTGGGCGTGGCCCATGTGCAGCAGCGCAGCCAAGGACATGGCAGCTGGGCAGCAGGGACAAGACTCCGCCCTGTTGCATGCAGATGATGCTGCAGGGTGCAGGCAGAGGGTGTGGCTGCCATGGTGCTGCAGGGCCACCTGGGCAATCTGCTGCAGTGGGCCGTGGAGGTGGTGGGTGGCCCTATGGGTGGGTGGGGTGGGGTGGGCAGGGGGCAGGGTGTTTTTGGGGCACTCAGTCTCTAAAAGGTTCACCATCACTGACCTATATCATTTCAGAAAAGCGACTGTCCAGTCTCTTCTTAAAAACCTCCAGTGATGGAGCACCCACAATTTCTGAAGGCAAGCTGTTCTACTGGTTAATTGCCCTCACTGTTAGGAAGTTTCTCCTTAATTCCAGATTGCTTCTCTCTTTGATCATTTTCCAGCCATTGTTTCTTGTCCTGCCCTTTAGTGCACTGGAGAATAATTTGAATCCCTCTTCTTTGTGGCAGTCCCCTCAAACTCTTCTTTCAGTTTTCTTCTCCAGCTGTTTTAAGACAAGTTGGGGACTTCCAAATAGTTTGGGGCTGTGATTTCCCAGGACTCCCAGTCAGCATGGCTGACAAGAACTCTGGGAGATGTAGTCCCAATGCAATTGTGGGGATCTGAGCTGTGGAAGACCTGCATTTGGCCAACATAGCTGGACCGGGTGACCACAAGATGGCTGCAAAGTGAAACACAAAATCTGTTGGAGAATTCTAAGTGTTGTAGTTTACATGTCTGAAAGTTGCCAGGTCTGAAAAATAGCAATCTGAAGTTTTTGCTGCCACCTAATAAGACACTCAACCCAAATATTGCAACAATATATTTCAGTCTCTCTTTTTTTTTTTTGTTCTGTACTGCCTTCTAGTGGCTTTGAATCACAATTTTACTGTTGTACCCATCAAAATCCTAACATAGCTTCTCTAACCTCATATTTTCAGTTATTCTGCTTTCTGAGGAAAATTAGGACTAACAATTCTGCATAGAAAACTGGGAAAACTTCTCACATGATATGCTCAAATTATCTTTATAGGGTCACATTATTTTTTGCTAAGAAATATTTTCCATGACCATCTTTCATTTTAAAAAGAGGCCACCATTTGCTTTCCTTTCTAGGGATATGTGTTTTGAAGCATAATGCTGGTCTGTGACCATAATAAAAATTGATTGATTGAACTGAAGCATAATTTTAGGCGCTTGGAGAAACAGAGGTGGTCTGAATTTCTTTTATCAATATAAAATATAAAAAGTATAAATTAAATTAGAATTAAATTAATTTTACATTAATTCAATTAAAATATATTAAGTAAATTAAAATGTAATTAATTTTAAGTTTCAAATTAAATTAAAATGTAAGGCAGTTTTCTTTCAAAAATAAATAATTTTCTTTAAAAAATATTTTTTTTTAAAGAGAATTGAATTTCTGAGCCATTTCTGGCTCAGATTGATTCCTGATCACCGAAAATTTCTGCAAGCTGTTATGTCAGGGGAGTTTTCACCTCCATCACAAATCGTTTGATGGAAAAATCACGAATGAAACTGTATGTTATTATTTCTGGGATTGATGGAATGTGGAAAATATCTATTTCACAGCTTATGCCTGAATGCCTTTAGTAGCTTCATGCAATAAAGTCATTGTTTACATACAGAATGGCATTATATTATGTCTACTACTATTACTGTTCTTATTTCAAAATGAATGACATTTTTTTATCTGCTGCTCCTTTATTATTTTGCCAGCCCCAAAAGTTTTAGAAGTGCCTCTTGTGTTGGGCAATGGACATGACACCCATTAGCAATATTGTTAGTTTAATGCAGACATGTCAAACTCACGATGTCACATGATGTCGCGCAATGTATCGGGACGGTTTTGCCATTGCCGATGACGCATCCAGCCCACGGGCTGGCAGTTTGACACCCCTGGTTTAATGCTTTTTAATATTCTCTTTGAATGACTTAGGACAGCTTATTCACTATGATAGCCATAGTGATACCCATTCCTTTAGGGCAGACATGTCAAACTTGCGATGTCACGTGACGTCGCGCAACGTATCGGAGCTTTTTTGCCATTGCCGGCAATGGGGTGGGCGCGGCTCTGGTATGATGAAACTGGCCCACGGGCCGGCAGTTTGACACTCCTGCTTTAGGAGAAAAAACCCTTAGATTTAGACTTCAGAAATGAGCTGAATGTTTGCAAAGAGTGTAATAGGGAAACCATGTGATTATTTAAAAGTAGGGCTACAGATCTGGACTGCAAAAATACTAGAGTGTCACTAGAGGGCACCACTATTTTTGAAATCTTGTAAACCAGCAGGGAAAACAGATATTCACTTAATATCTACCCAGGTTAACCCAAGAATGCCTGGAGAGAGTAATGGTATCGTCTTCTGGACTGCCCATCACCGGGTTTTAACCTGCCTTCCTCTGTCTGGTTGAAATTGAACAGAATTAGGTGTGTGATACTGGAAGAAGTGCCTCTACCCTGTATTGGTGGGGATGGAAAGATTCCCCTCGTTGCAACTGTGGTGCTGATAGGCAAACTGTTAAACATATTGTGCAAGATTGCCTAACACATGCATTCTCTGATTCTCTAGAACAGGGGTAGTCAACCTTGGCTCTTTTATGACTCGTGGACTTCAACTCCCAGAATTCCTGAGCCAGCTGTGCTGGCTCAGGAATTCTGGGAGTTGAAGTCCACGAGTCATAAAAGAGCCAAGGTTGACTACCCCTGCTCTAGAAGATCTGCACGAAGCAACTGCCATAAGCGATCGCCTGGATAGCTGAATTGAACATCCAGTTATGCGGCCACTGCCGTATTCCCGTAGAAGTTTCATATATAAATATGAGGATTGTGTATATATGTTTACTTCTCTTTTGCCATGTTCTCACCATATGCCAAATAAGGCATCTCACTGCATTACTATCTTCTATTTCACTTTCCTGCCATCTGACGGAGCTCAGGAATCTTGCAATCCAGTTATGTAGCCCTAACACAAGGCTGTAGTGGGGAGAATTCCAGTAGGGTTCATAGTATAACATAACATGGACAAAAGAAAGCAGTGCTGCTTACCTTAAATCAAGAGGAGATGAATAT